CACTATGCTGTGAGGCCCCTCTCCACCCGTGTCCGCCGGCATCACTATGCTGTGAGGCCCCTCTCCACCGTGTCCACCAGCATGGCGCTGCCGTCCCACCGCACACATTAGTACAGATGCTCCCATGTCTGCTCAACTAGCTTCAGTGTATGGCTCTGTCCACAGATGACAGGGGGGATTGCGTGCAAACACTGCACTCACCAAACTCTGCGCACTCACAGGGCACATCGCACTGGAGGCTCCTGGCTTGGAACTCACATTGCCAACCTCTCTCCCCTCCCAGATGTTAAAGGGCTCCACCATGGCAGTGCACAAAGCAGGGCTATAAGCTCATCCAATTACAAGACTTAGGACGAAGGGTGACTTGGATGAAAGAAAATTTGAGGCATTCAGGGAGACTTTTATCAAAGAAAATGAAACCCAGGGTCTTGAGTTTAGTCTGATATTTACTTTGGGGCCATTCTCTACCTTGCACTATTTGGAGACTCGCTTTGCATTTTTGCTTTAGCAAATATTTATTGGGCACCTAGTAGGTTTTTGTAATGGGCTGAAAATACAAATGGAACTCAGTTCTCGCCATGAAAGGGTCCATGGCTTAGTGGGAAGGAGAGGAGAAGCAAAGCCAATCATCACACTTTGCTGGGACAGAGCACACACTGAGACACGAGAGGCCACCAGGAGCTCTCACACCCCAGGATCTCCATGTGTCCCTGCAACATGAACGTGGCTTGGGCCATTCCGGCTGACGGGGACTGTGTCAGGAATCAAAACAAGGTGAGACAGGACAGTCTGGCAGAGGCCAGGGCATGCGAAAGGCAGTGGGGTGAGGGCCCCAGTCTTGCCCCCTGCATTGTTGAGACACAGGCTGTTCAGGAGGGGTTTCCGTGCCTTAGGCCAGGTGAGAGGAGCATCACGTGCCCATAACTTTGGCTTCCATCCTAATCCTAAGCAATCAGACCCTCACCCTGCAGGTGAAAAGGACAGTGAGGGCTGTCACCGTGGGGTCTCCAAGCACACTGCAGCGTACTCCGTATGGGATACTACATGAAGCAAAGCGCACATCAGACACGGTTCCTGCCCACACACAGACTTCCTATGACATGGTGAGGTCCAGGTGGGCCCACAAACCTCCACATTCTGGGGAAGAGGCCACAGGTAGGCAGCTGGGCAGTGCTGACAAGGCTGCTGGAAGTTCAGCAGAGATGACTGGAATGTAGCCAGGGCCCCACAGTTAGGAGCGTCACACAGCTGAAGGGACATCCAGGCTGAGCAGAGTCAAACTGTCTGCCCAGCTTCATGGTGAGGCAGGGCAGCTGGAGCTAAGCACTTGCCGGACGTCAACATGAAGAGTGACCCCCCAGTGCAGTGTCAGAGTTCAGACACTAAGTGTCCGCACGGGTCTAAAGAGTACCCACTACACTGTCATTTCCTTGGAACTTCAGGGAAATGCAGTCTTCTTAGACACTCCGGACCAAAAGAAGCAGAATCTGCATCCTGACAAGATCCCATTAAAGTGTGAGAAGTTCTAAGTCAGAAGACAAGAGGATGCTTCTCAGACCAGCTGGCTGCAGCTGGGCCCTGAGCTCCCTTGCTGCCCTGGGCAGGCTCTAAAAAACCCAAGTTCTGAGTCACC